CAACAATGCAACCTAAGTATCCTAGCAATTTAAAGAATTCCCTATGGCCATCTATTGGGATTGGCTATCGTTTTTTATTCTTATCTCGCTTATCCTTTGCGTTAGACAATTTTAATTTTCAAATATGTGTTTCACGTTACTTTCGGCACGTTCCGGTTTTCTATGTGGCGCGAGTTCTGGGACACCCTGTATATATACAGGGTGTCCCACAATTAGTGCGACAAAATGAAGGTGTATTATCTACAGACCCCCAGGAATTCCAGAAAATTATTTAAAAAATTCTTCCTTTATTATTTAAAAAGATACAGGGGAGTCATATTTTCTTTATATGGCAACATTGCCTCAAAAAAAGGGGATAGTTTAATTCTTAATCATCATGTTAACATTGTTGTTTGTTGTCATGATGATTAAAAATTAAACTATTACTTTGTTATGAGGCAATGCCATACAAAGAAAACATGACTCCCCTGTATCTTTTTAAATAATAAAGGAAAAATGTTTTGAACAATTTTCTGGAATTCCTGGGGGTCTGTAGATAATACACCTTCATCTTGTCGCACTAATTGTGGGACACCCTGTATATATATATATATATATATATATATATATATATATATATATATATATAATCTTTTATTATGTATATAAATATTTTAAACATTTATATTTTGCAGATAATACTAAACGCCAATACTAATACAGTGTTTAAATAATATTTATATTATTAAGATTACGGCATCGCGATGCATCGGTATGGTTTAAAATATTCGGACTTTTAATATTAATCCCGGCGCATTCGCCATTTATAATAATAATAAATTTATTTCCTGTTAACATATAATACATATAATACATATTATTTACAATTGTCACTAATATAAACTTAAAGGTACGTAGAAATATAGACAGGTACAATTTGGCTAAAAAATTAAGGGTACATAATACAAGTTACAATAATATTATATCACAGTCATGTGTTTAGGAATTCATCATATTAATAGAAAGACTTTTTTCTACTACCTTATTAGAAAACTTAATTTTCCACCCCCGAGCGAGGGAGGAAAATGCCTCTTTTCCTCTTCGGAAGGAAAAAAAATTTCCTCCCTCTTTTTTTTAACTATTTTACATTAGCAAGAGTTTTTGTACCTTGTCTTAGACAGTTGTCTAGCCCTATTTGATTTTGTAGGAAAAAGATTTACTCCGCGCTTTTCCAATCATTCTTTTAACAAACTATATATATTCATTATCATATCGCTCTTTCGATTTTTAAGGAAGGCAATTAATTGCAACTATTATTGCCTCTTTAGCAAGATCTTGCGACAGGTCTTCTTCGCTAGAACTCATTTTCAAAACGTAGGAAGAATTTTAATTTTATGAAAAACATTCTGAGAGCTTACAAAAACTGTTGTTTGTATTACCAAAAATACCATAGCAACAAAGCGTTGTCAACCTAACGTCGGCCACGCAACACTTACTTAATATTTTGTCATAATTTTATAGCCCCATACCGGATTAGTAAAAGGAACCGAAACGCTTAAAAAAACTATATACATACCTCAGGAGGAAAATGCGTTTCCTCCCTTGAATATTTAATGCCCTTCGCTTCGCGTCGGGCATCAAACTATTCGCGGGAGGAAAAGCACTATTTTCCTCCCATGGTATGTAAATAGCTATGAAATCAAAAATGATTTTAGTAAAGCTTTATATAAGTTTGGTTTTAATTTTTTTATTGCTTCAGGTAATTTGTTATAATATTTAGGAGCTAGAAATTTCAATGTATTTTGCGATTTTGACAGCCTAAATCCTGGCAAAATTAAGTTGTTTTTTGTTCTATGAGACAAGCGTTGGTTCACGAAAGGTTGACTTTCTTGGATTTTTTTAAACATATTAAAAACGAATAATAGGAAGGAATTTTTAACTTTGTGTTTCCTTTACTAAGTGATAATAAAAAATAAAAAATAAGGACTGTGAGTTTGCCACCTTCTTTTTTATTTTAGTTGTTTAGTTGGTATTTATATTTAAATACTGGTTTACAAAATTCTAAATACCCTTAAATAGTATTTAATAAATAAGTATAATATTTAATTTCTATGGGTCTTTCCACTGAACAATTTTTTTTTAAGTGTGACCCCTGCGGTTTCTTTTTTTTTATTTACAAATTGGGACTGCATCAACCTCCAAGGGTTATTAGCAGTATACATATACAAACATAGATTTATTAGATTTTATTAAATATATTTATCGATCTTAGGAAGTCCAGGGTTTTTTCAATTTGCGTGCCCAAAGCCATCTCCAAACTATCCGGGATGTGGTGCAGTGATCTTTTTCTATTATATTTCGGACAATCTAAAATTATATGGGATACGCTTAGGGCAGCGTTACATTCTTCGCAAAGGCTGATAGGTTCGTTTTTGAAGATGAAGCTATGCGTGATGGCAGTATGACCGATTCTAAGGCGATTTGCTACTATTTGGTTTTTTCGACCTGGAGGAGTTGACAATTCTTGTCCGATTTGTGTTTTAACTGCTTTTAGCTTGCTGTTATTTGTTGCCCAAAGTTCTTGCCATTTTTCTTTTAATTATGTGGAATTCTTCACATTAAAATAATGACTGAAGATTTGAGCTCCTAATATTAAGTATTTAATGTTTTATAAAAATACAAACAGTACTTTTTTAGTAAAAACATCTTGTTTTTGTTCTATGAGACCAGTGTTGGTTCATGAGAGGTTGACTTTCTTGGATTTTTTTATATTAAAAACGAATAATAGGAAGGAATTTTTAACTTTGTGTTTCCTTTACCAAGTGACAATAAAAAATAAAAAATAAGGACTGTGCATTTGCCACCTTCTTTTATATTATAGTTGTTTAGTTTGTATTTACATTTAAATACTGGTTTACAAAATTTTATTAAAAAAACAAGTGCCTTAAACTAAAAAACAAATGTTGGTATATTTAAATTCTAAATCTATGTACCTATAGATTGAGCAGGTTTAAAGAAATATATAAAAAAATACAGTTGCCTTGAGCACTAATAAGTTAAGAAGAATTTTAACAAAGTAATTGTGTATAAAAAACACGATTAGCTGATTGTAGCAGGGTTAATATACATAAATCGTAACAATTTTTATAAAAGCCATTTCACAAATTTTTATTAAGCTTGAGCGAAGCTTGCGAGCAAGTTTTTAATAAAAAAGAGTGTCTAGAGAAGTTTATATAACATGTTGCAACTATTTTATGCATGCATACTTTATCTACGACGAACACAAAAATTACTTTAACATCTGTCAAACAATTCTGACCTCACTTTTTCTGAAATCTGACAATTTTAACCTCGCATTTTTTCAATTTATAATAAACCCAACTTTGGCCCTTTACTAAAAAGCCTAAAAGCAACTGTTGCTAACTTCAGCCTGTGACCAAAATAAATAAATAAATAAATAAATATAGTTTATTTAGCCAAGCTATTTTTAACAATTTATTTTTTACAGTTTTTAATACTCGGCCATTTCAAGCGCTCGAAACGCACGAATTACAAAACTGTTTTTATACAAAAAATTAGAATACTTATTATAAAATATTTTGGCATCAAAATTGTATAACCTAATAAATAATATTTTTGACAATTTTGATTTCCAAAATATTTTATAATATGAGCCAAAAAAACTAACCTATTGAATTTATGGGTTAAAATGAACCTATATACTGAGATAAAAATGTCCCTGCAAGGCAGGATTTTTAGCTTAATTTTAAAAGGTGTCGCTGAGCATTTAAAGTTTACCATTTAAATAACACGTAAAAAAATCTTCTTTCATTAAAAATACCATAACTTTTTACGTCGCGGAATCTTGTAGAGCATAACATTTCCTAAAAAAATCTACCCCAGGATTATTTTAAAAAATTGGAATATTTGAAAGCTTTGAAAAGTGAAAAAAATCAAAATATTCAGTTTTAGTGATTTTTTACATTTTTCAAAGCTTTTAAACATAACAAAAATTACAATACAAATATTCAGGTACTTTTTTTTTAATTTAAAAATGATATCAATTGCTTTAAACGTAATTCTTTGTTGGACACTCATAAAATCTAACATTAATTTAATATTTATTACATTTTAAAAAAGTCCGTAATGATCTATTTTGTATTGTAGCCTTGATACTTCATTTTGATTAAAATTAAAAAGGACAGTTGAGGTGGAAATAACGACTAAGCAATACAATGTATAAACTTAATTGTTTTCCCACTCTATTTAAAAAGAACACTTTTTTATACATTTTGGATATGATGTAAATACAGTTATTAGAGAAATGTAGACATTAATCTAAAAAACACCTAATTATTTTATTTCTTTTACTCTTTCCAAACTAATAATATTGTGGATTAAGGCACATGTTGCATTGCATCTGTCAAAATGGTGACTTAGGTACTTCTTGCATTGAAAACCAGGTAAACTTCCATTGAATTAAATGCAAACTAAGGCACTTAGACACATATTCCTGCCCCTCTGCACACCTGAACACCTGAAGGCTTACGTGAAACACTCTCAGAAGGCGCCACAAAGTTAATTTCATTAAAAATCTGAATTGGGCACTTCTTGGATTGACCCCTTCAATTTTGAAAAATAAATAAAATCTGACATCTGTTCTAACCTAACTTTCTAATCGCTTTATTTTGACGATTGTATGACATTTAATAACTGAAACTAACTTCAGCCCGTGACTTAAAAGCCCTAAAGCGATTGTTGCTTACTTCAGCCCGTTACTCAAATGACACAGCAGTCACAGTTTGTCAATGTGTATTTAAAAGATTACTTGGTATCATTTAAACATAAACGATCGTGTATTTTAATTAGGAGCCAACAAAATTTTTTATAACGGGTTAATTATAACTTAAAAACTTAACCTTACAAAATCACATATTTAAAAAACTCTGTTATAATCACAAATCGGCAATCCTGTATAGAATCCCTTTGCACCATTTAAATTTTTGATCTATTTTTTGCAGATTTCGCCAGCATGTGACCACTAACAATACTAACGCAGTGCTTAAGTTAAATATTTACGTAACAGCATCGGTGTGGCTTTGCATTATTTCTTCGGACATGAAAGGAACGGGTCGCGTCGGATAAAAGTAGTCATAGCGCCACCGGCGGGAGGCGATGCGATGCCGGGCGCATAATGTATCCCATGGTGCATCTGACCGAGCAAAGAAATCTCCAGCAGCAACAGAGATCGAACCAAACGAGCGAACTGTTCAGGGTAAGCAACGAGGAAGTCCTTGAAGAGACCGAGGAGGAAAACGTATCGGTCAAACATCGTCCAAAACGGCCGCTGCATCGCCGTATATTAAGTTATGTGCGCAACGCCTGGACCAGCGCCAAGTCTGCTTATTTAGGTAACTAACATCACTAACATTACTTATTTTTACTTATTTTTTACTTAATATTTTTGAATTTTTTCCTTTATGTTTATATTTGAGTCAGAACTCCGTCATCGTATCACTGATCGACTAGTATTAAAATGAATGTCAACACACAAAAGTTGTGGCATTTTGATAAAAACAACGATTCTCCAAATCATACACCAAGTAACAATAACATTTTAATATTTGGATAATTAATTTTGAAAATAATAATATTTTGACAAGATTATCCTAATATTTCTAAAATACTAAGCTTAGTTTAAAAAAATGCATTTAATTAATTATAAAAACAAAATCAAGTAATTTACCACATAAAATTGTAATTATCTAGGATGCTTTCCGAAAACATTTTGTAGGTACTACTAGTACCTAGTAGGTACTAGTACTACCTACAAAATGTTTTCGTGACGGCTGGTGGATTTTGCATATGCTATATCTTAGTTATTAGATATGGGACCCACACCAAATTTATATGAGTTTATAATGACACTAAATTAACAAGTTCTGCGCAAGCAGAATTTAAATGAAAGTTTGCGAAAAAAAGATAGTTTTTGCTGCAGCTCCCCTGCAGCCTGTCCCCCCTAAAAAAGATAATACAAATTTTAGTAGTGCAATTCATAATTTACCATAGTTTATTGACAAATATTAAAATTTATTTAAAAAATCCAAGTATTACAGATTTTATTTTATTTTTTATTATTTTACGAAAAGTAATACAAATTTAAAATGGTATAAAATCTGTATACTTGGATTTTTTAAATAAATTTTAAAATTTATCAATAAAGTATGGTATATTATAAATTGCACCACTAAAATTTGTATTATCTTTATTCGGGGGGCCAGGCTGCAGGGGAGCTGCAGCAAAAACTATCTTTTTTGCGCAAACTTCTATTTAAATTCTGCTTCCGCAGAACTTGTTAATTTAATGTCATTATAAACTCTTATAAATTTGGTGTGGGTCCCATGTCTAATAACCAAAATATCGGTATACGCAAAATCCATAATAAATAATAAAATGGAAAAAATACATTTTTTTGTTTGGAATTTTATTGCGTTTTAACGAATCAGTGAGTTGTAGGTATCAATACATATTCTTGTAGGGAATTAAACGATCTACAAAAAAGATCTGATATGATTTTTTGCATAGTCGACTCTTTTAAAAGTTATTTGAGGTTAAAGATCAACTTTAAATAGTAAATGATGACTTTTATAGTTTTTCATACGCTATCACGAAATATTGTCTCAAAAACATGAAATATCATATTTTTATAAAGTTTATCGTGTGTTCTTCGGTAAAACAATACAATTTTTACGAAATATCAATAATCGTGAAAAAACCGGTTTATCCTATTTTCTTTTTAAATTCGACATTTTTTCTTTACCTGAGTAATGACAAAAAAATTAATCATTTTCTTAAAAAATAATAAATATTCTATTTACACTTGACTATTAGGTAATGTAGAGTAATAAAAGCCATGTTTCAATAATTTTTCAATTAAAATAAAAAATGTTATTCCATAACTTGTACTTTTTCACTATCTTAGAATCAAACTAAATTTTTCTTGTTACAATTGGGATATTTTTGCCGGTGGTTTTAACTACTCGCAATAAGTATCAAATATACATAATATGTATATTATATATATTTATATATATTTAATATATTATATTATATTATATATATTTAATATATTATGTATATTATATATATTTAATATATTTGATTTACCCATTGACTTTATCAAGATAATCTAGTATTTTTCAAACGTCTTAGTGTTCTCAATGATGTAGCAGAAAGAGGAGTTGCATTAATAGAAGAGTAAAACGGTTTTTTCCCGATTATTGAAATTTCGAAAAATTTTATTGTTTTACCGAAGAACACTCGATAAACTTCACGAAAAATATGATATTTCATGTTTTTGATCCAATATTTCGTAATAGAGTATGAAAAACTATAAAATTCATCATTTACTATTTGAGGTTAAACTTTAACCTCAAATAACTTTTAAACGAGTCGACTAAACAAAAACTCATATCAGATCTTTTTTGTATACAGGAATATGTATTGATTTCTACAACTCACTAATTCGTTAAAACGCAATAAGATTACAAACAAAAAAATGTTTTTTTCCCGTGTTATTTAAATGAAAAATAAAAAATCGCGATGAGCCACCTCTTAATATTAATATTAAGAGCTCAAACTTTATCAGTCATCTTGGACGATATTTTCATGGTAACTAAAGAAAAAAAATTAAAAGTTTTTTTGGCCCACCCTAGTCAGCATGGGTGATGTCTTAAACCTTTTGTCGACGGAATGTGTGGGAGCACCTAATGCATGTTAAACGCTGCGGGTACTTGTGCCTGGGATTTCCATAACAGTTTATTCTTATTGAGGAGCTCGCACTATCCGTGGCCTTTTCTCGACGACGATTTGGCCTCAGCATACCAGTTTCCATTAAACGTTGATAATTTCTGCAAACAATCGTTTTGATAGACGCGACATGTTGGAAAATCTCTGACCATAGAGATGCTGGGCAGCTCTGCAATAATAGTGTACTTCAACGTAGATCGCATACACATTAAAGTTCTTGCAGTGTGTAATTATTCTCCATGATTTATTAGGGATGAAACAATTTTAGTAAATTTTTACTGGCTGTGTTCCTAATAATACAATAATTGCATTACTAAGACCATAATAATTATTATTGTTGATAGCTCTTTGACTTTTAACTTCTTGACTTGGTTTCAAGAAGTTTTGTTTTCAATCGTTTAAACTCACAAGGTGCCTCTAATCAATATTTTGCTGAAGTGACTTTTGTTTTTAAATCGATCGTTAAATCTATAGAGTATAGATTATAAGGTCATCAATTTATCTAAATATCCAGTGGCGTAAAACATAGGGAGCAAATACCCTATATCTACGCCACTGAATGGTTTTGAAAATCAAAAAATAATAATCTATTCATTAAGTAGGTACTGTCTCCAAGTTTAGTCAAAATCTTTCAAAAGATATGCCAGAATATCAATTCTAAAAATTAAACTATTAAGAATACATATTTTTTTATTTCATTTTTAGTGGGGAATCTACCCTGCAAGTTTGTAACAGTATTTTAGTTACACCCTGTAGATATAGTACATATCTACAAATTATTACATTTTCTCTATGTTTAATTTGAATTTAATTATTCTTTATTAGGTAGGTAGTTAGCAGCAGTAAATGTATATTCAGGAAAACCATATAATTTTATAAAAAATTTGCCATTGTTTAAATATTATAGTATAAATTTTGTAAGGTATACACCTGTAGTAATGAATATTTCCTTATTATTTGTAAATATTTAGTTGCGACCAGTTTTGGTCTTTAGACCATCTTCAGGCAAAAACGTCAAAATAAACAAACGTTTTTGCATGAAGACCAAAAATAGTCGCAAATAAATATTTACAAAAAATAAGGAAATATTCATTACATACACCTTCAAAATAAATCTATCTTATTCAAAATGGACAAATTACTACAATAATTGAGGAGCATCCGTGCAAAACCGGCTAAATCCATTTTATTCAGTTTTTGTTTTTTTTTTTTTATTTCGCATCTTTGGGTTCATTTCTATCAACAACCAAGATAATTCTGTTTAAATCCGACTATATCCATGTTAAAATCACATTTAAAAGGTAGCTTTTGGAGCAAAACTGGCCAAATCCACGTTTTTATAGCAAACCCGGCTATATCCAATAAATAATAATATGTGGCTTGGATATGTCGATACTACTACTAAAATTTGTTCTGTTTTTTCATGTTTGCACTAAATTTATTTTGTTAATATTTTTGAATAATAAAGGTTTTTTTCACATTTTATTTGTTTTTTATTCGGTTTTCCAGCAAAACCGGCTATATACAAAACATTTTTTGAAATTTTGGCCGAGAGTTTTTGCCATTTTCCCAACATTTTATTAAAGTGGATATAGCCGGTTTTGCACGGATGCTCCTCAATTATTATAGTATAAACATGTACTTACAATAGTTTTACAGCGATCACCAAAATAAAAATTTACTATTAAAAACGAAATTGTTTTTAAATGCAATTTAATAAAATTGTTTTTTATACCACAGGAAGCAACGTTATATACTGATCAAAACGAAAAAAGAGCCACTTATAAAAATGTTCGTGGTGTTTAACTAAATCCATTTACGATTAAAATTTTGCTATATAATTATATCTAAGAATTTTTGCTATAAGTATAGTATAATTTTTGTTATATAACTGTCGATTTTTTTGTGAAAATAAATAAAAAGTGATAAATGTGATAAATTCGATTTATTATTTTAATAACAGCGATGATAAAAATGGTTTAAAAATAAAACTAGTAGCGTGTATGGGCTCCTCTAACTCGCTGAACTTCTGCACAACGTCGAGGCATGCTTTCAATGACATTTCGAATAGCTTCTTGACCTAGCTGTTCCCATTCCTCCAGAAGAACTTCCTCAACATGTTGTAGGTTTCTTAGTGGCTGACGTTCCAATAAGCACTTTCCAAGTGAATCCCAAATGTGTTCGATGGGATTTAAATCGGGACTACTCGCTGGCCACTCCATAACTTGAATATTGTGGCCAGTTAGATAATTTTGAACTATCCTGGCCACGTGCGGTCTTGCATTATCATGCTGTAGGATAAATTCTGGACCCATATTTTCAGCGAATGGGACAACATGTGGTTCAATAACTTCGTTTATGTACCTCTCTGCCGTCATCGCCCCTCGGCGAATAACTACTAGGTCAGAGCGGCCATTTAAAGTTATCCCACCCCAAACCATAATTGAGCCACCTCCAAAAGCTTGGTTTTCTTGAACTGTGGAATCCAAAAAGCGCTCGCCTGGTCGTCTCCAGACTCTAACACGTCCATCAATATGATTTAAAAGAAATCATGTTAAACAAGGAAATTATTTAATTTAATTTTCGTAAAATTGAAAAAAAA